AATTACCTTTTTTAAATATATATATATTTATACATAATCAAAAAATTATCTAAAAATATGAAAAATTATAAATTAAACTATTAGAAAAATAAAAAATAATTTTAAGAAATTAATATAAATAATTAAATTAAATTTTAAATTTCATAAAAAATACATTTTAATACTTTATTATTACAAAATATTTAGGTTTTAAAAATATATTTTATTTTAAATTATTATTAAATAATTTAAATATTTATCTTATTAAAATTTTCAACTATTTGTGTTTAAATATTTGCATATATTCTACTCTTGAAGAAAATTAAACACATATGCTCTTTTTTAATTTTAAGTAATTATGAGTTATTCATAATTTTTATATTTAATCTAATTAAATTTTATATTTAAAAAATATATATACTATTATTACTACTAGTTGTATCACAGCACAATATGCAGCACTTATTGCATCATACTTTTAAGCAACATTTTCATAAACATGTTCTAATATTAAACATTTGGCATTTCCTTTAATGACATGACTAGATATTCTAAAACTAAGAATATCAATAATTTTTCCTTTTTAAAATATAAAAATGTTTAAAATGGATGTAAGCTGAATATTTTATAAGCATTCCATTTTCTCCATTATTTCTTTATTTTTATATATATCTTAAAATTTACTGAGGTATTTCGTTAATTATTTTAATTATGTAGAAACATATTTTTTTTAGTCACATATTTTTTAAATATTCTATTTATAATTATTATTTAATAATATAATATTCCTTGAATATTTTATATTATTTTTTGGAATAATTTATTTTTCATAAAAATTAATAATTGATATGCATCATCTACTAATAAAATACTTTTAAAGTTAAATTCTTACAATTTAATTATTATTTCTCCTTTCAATCAATTTTAATGTGATTTTTTGTTCATGTTTTATCAATAGATGATGCAACTTCTAAGACCACGCACAAGACTACTACCAATTTTAAAACTTGACTTACATGGCTATCTGTATGAGTCTCCCAACATCTTCTACCAAAATATAAGTCAAATTTTACAACTTGACAAATTCAACACCTTATACAAAATCTTTGGAAAAGCTCTTCAAAAGTCTTCAAAAACTTCTCATAGTAATTATTAGTCTAGATTAAACAACCTTCTTGTTTCGTTGATGTATCATAGATAATATACTTGTAATCTAAAAAATCATAAATTAGATTAAAAAATTTAAGCAATCTTTGTTATTGCTTAAGTTGGATTTTTTTATAATAAGTTATAATAAAAATTTGTATATAATACTATAAAAATAATCGATTTTAAACACTAATTTATTATTATAATAAAGATTCAATTTTAATATAAAAAAATAATATTAGTTAACCTCAATAGAATCTAAATCAAAAAATTCATTATATAAGGAGGAATAAGATAAGAATGCCTTTGAAGCCATATATATATTTTTTAAATAGAAGCGGTATTATATCTAATAATCCATGCAATTGTTAAAACTTAAAGATTAAAATAGATCACATTTTCAAATAACAATGATTAAATAAACATTAAATCAATACACATATAATTAAACATTGTGTATAAATGGGATTGAAGAATCAGTGACTAACTTGGTATAAACTTGAATAAGTTTTGCAAAGACTTAGTCAATAAATCAATTGGTCTATATCTCTTGCTTATTGACAATACAAAAAAGAACCAAGATCCCATTATGCTAATCGATTTAGTTGAATTTGGAAAAATAACTAAAAAGATTAATATGATTGTTATATATTCTTTTGGAATCTTTCCTCCAAATAGAAAATGATGGCTAATTCTTAATAAACCCTCTATAAAAAAAAAAAAATACACTGTTAGTACTTTACTAGATTCTATGTAGCAAAAAGAATCAATATATCTAATAGTATTTTTTTCTTTTTTGTTTATTTTTTCACCTTTGTATTGAAAGGCTATCTAAAAGCTATATTAAAACTAAAGAAAATAGTCAAAAACTTCATATGAAGTAAGATGCAATAACCTACAAGGGCCAAAGTTACAAATAATGTATCTAAAAATTTAAGTGAAATAGGGCCTAAAATAATAGATCCATGAAAAGCCATGACCATCTTTTAAAACAAGTAGCTAATAAAAGCATCTTAGTAAGGTAAATCCAACATCAAAAATATTATTAGAAAAATATTAATAAAATTTGCATCATGTGCCTAAGACAAAGTATTGGCTAGGTTTTCATTGGGCATTAAGTTCTGTCTACAAATAACCATTAAGGTTAAAGAATTGATTAAAAATATGAAAGATTTAGACCAAGAAGGTGTAATATTTATATATGAAATATAAAAGTTTATTCTAAAATATATAAAACATATTTCTTTAAAAGGATCCAAAAGTCTTATTTAATCTATTGTTACATTATTTTTATATCTTTTAAATTCAAAGCATAAAATTGTAAATTTTTTTAAAATTTAGATATAATTTAAATGCAATTTCTTACTTCTTAATATTTTTAAGGGCTCAAAAAAACTTTATCTTCATATACTACTTATGAATAATATTTCTGAATAATTAAAATTATGTCAAAATATTAGTAATAATAATAATAATAATAATAATAATAATCATAAAAGTATAATTAAAAATATCTTTCCATTTTAAATATTTATAAAAAAAATAAAATTAAAATGAATAATAATAAAATATTTTTAAATGATAGCAAGAAAGCAACTATGTCGAATGAGTTGGTAGGAGTATTGTACATGATTATGAAAAATTAATATAAAATTTTACAAATGCCTTTTTATTAATTTAATGACCTTTTATGTGTGTGTGTATAAATATATATATATATATATACATGATTCTAAAATCATTTAAATTAGATAAAAACAAAAAACTAAAAATCAAATCAAATACAAAGATATAAAAGTGTTTATGCCAAAAATACATTTTTTTTCTAGTATAGTCTTGTATACTTTCTTAACTAAAAATACAACAGCAATAGTCGAATAAATAACATTGCTGCTACTGGTCATTTAACATTCCGAATTATCCTTTTAAATTGTTTTCTATTCATAATATTAGTATATAAATTTAGTATTTTTATTTGTTATTTTAAAAAATAGTTGTAATGGTTTTCAATTTTTTTCTAATAAAAAGATATAAATTTGCTCACAATCTATTATTTATGCTTATTTATATATTATTGATATTTATTTCTGTTATTATTCCTTTTGTTTCTAATACTTCTTAGATGATATTTGAACTATAATGCAATTTTATAATCTGTTATATTAAATTATTAATTTATTATTAAAGTTTTATTAGGAATTTATACTTATTAATTTTATTTTATGATTTAATATTATATTATTATGTTTTATTTTTATTTACTTATATATTTTAAACATTCTAAAAATAATTATATTTATGTAAATGAAAGAATTTATCCCAAAAGTAAAGATCATTTTGGTACCTTTCTATATATATATATATATATATATATATATATATAATAGTTAAAGATTGTATTACTTTAAAATTTTGGATATTAGAATTTTTCTTTGATTATGTCTTACAGAATATGTCAACACTAGAGAAAAATAATTAATAGATACATATATATATATATATATATATATATAATTAAAATTTTTAATTTTTTAATAATATAAAGTATATATATTAATATAAAATATAATTTTATAATTTTACTACAAAGTTTAAATTAAAGTGAGCATTATTAAATGTTATAAAAGTGTCACATTAAAAGTATTATGTCTTCTCCTTGATCCAAAGTTTGAATCAAATATATCAAAAATAATACTAAATTTTTTGTTTTACTTCTGGAATGTATTACTGAATCTGAGTTATATATTAAATTTCATGTGTATTTTTATTAATGTTACTTTACTTATATATTTTGAGAATATTTTTTATTTTTCAAATAAATTTTAATAATTTAGTTTGTTGCAATCTTCTAATTTAAAAGGATTGGTAATCATTAAAAATATTTATGCATTTAAATTTAGAAAAGAGGTAAATTCAAAAGATATCAGATATTATTATGAATTAAATCTCAAATTTCGAAAGAAATTTTTAAAACTTTGATTTTGACATTGTCCACAAAACTGCTGTATAATATTTATATTCTTAATTACAACAGTAACTTCTTTATCTTAATAGACTTTAATATAGACCCTTTAAAATCAATGTCCTTTTGATTTTAGAATTTGAATAATCATCAGTTAATGTAACATGTTTAATTTTAATTATTTGATTCGAATTTTTAAAGACGTAGAAATATAATTAAATTGTTGGAAATAAATCTTTTATAATCAATATAATTTTTGTATATATACATATACATACATATATAATACAAACAAAGAAATAAATTAACAATGAATAAATAAATCTTATAAAGACAACTGAACATTATACTATCAAATTCAAAAAGGATTACAATGGGTACAAAAATACTCTCTTTCAAAGAAACACATTACAAAATAAAATACTGTTAATAGTACTAGATTGGTTTTTTTCAATGTAGCAATACAAACATGATCCATACCTCACATATTTCACATATAGATTATTATCCAATTGTTTCATAATACCATTTGTTATTTCCATAACAAATACTCCACAACAACTCTCATTTGAAATGCTTTACACAACATGAATCATCTACGGTATGTATGTATGTATGTATATTCAAGTACCTATATACCCAACCCATTCACACAGAGTGTAGGAACTTGCATTGGCTTCACAATACAAGCAGTACATGTGTATGTGGGGACTACGTCGGCGTGCAATCGACGAGCTCGCGCCGACGATGATTAAATTCTCGAGATCTAGCATGTGGATCTGACTGAGGGTGGAATTCACGGTGAGAGACGCTGATCGCAAAATTGGGGAACGAAATCGACGGAGACAACGGTAAACAACGGAGAAGAGAGGTCAGGGGGACGTGGATTTGATCTGACTGAGTGAGTGAGTGAGTGAGTGAGACGAACATGAGCGATTTGTGTTCCGATCGAACATGTAGAATTAGCAAACATACCCGGAGCAACATGATGTTGTAGTTAGTGTGCTGATCTATTGACAGCGTTGTTCAACACTAGAAGAAAAACTACACCCGGACCGATGGACGCTGATCGCTCCGACTTGTCTCGGAGGGGTGATCGTGAATTGAGCTCGTTCTCCCATCTGCAGCAGTAACTCCTCTTGTTCAAGCCATGCCAAACTTGGGCCTACTCTACAGGGATGGATTAGTCGATCAAAACTGACGGGTCGAATTTGTATGGTACAGAACGCTGCGGATGGCTGGGAGTCAGCGTCGGAGAAGGGGGTTTTATATGCACAGAGGGAGATGGAGATGGGTGATCTCAGAAGTGGATTGCTTTCGTGCCTTCGATGTCTGGGTTGCAGGGGTCTTGCACCCAAAGCTTGTGCAGGACCTTCAGAAGCTGTGAAGCTTTACGCTTGGCTCGAGCCGTGCAGTCACTCTGTATGAGGAGCAACAGCTTCGTTGGAGCGCCGTGGGCGACGGCTGCCTCCCGCATGGCTATGGAGTCGCTGCACATCATGCTGAGCGTTCCGGCTGCATATTCGGTTCCTCTGTCGGAGACTTTTAGGATGAGTTCCACGAGTACTGGCACTGCTAGTGCGTGGTCGATTATGGCCGCTTTGCCCTCTTCGATGGTGCCCAGAAGCTCTAGAGTCGCTAAGACTTTCTCTGCTGTTGCAGAACCCACCCATGGGAGCATTTCCAAGAGTGAAGCCACCGCGCCTACCTCAACAGCTCTGCTCAGCGCAAGTAATTGAACTGTGTAAGACTTCGAGAACCTAAACTTCACTCGTCAAATCAAATACTAAAAAGTAGATACGATGAATCCCTAAAAATTGAAGATATATTTTGTTTTTTAAATGACCATGGGCAGACAACTTACCGTCGTCTATTCTCTCTCAGCAAGCAGAGTGCCAGCAAAGTCTTGGTTGCCAGTTTAACAAGCTTAAGATGATTCTCGTCACGCATCAAATTGTTGAGCGCCTCCATCATTCCAGGGCATGCACCCATCGTTCCCTTGAATCCTTCCTCCAAAGAAAGTTTCTCCAGGAGAAGACATGCGTTCTCCTTGGCATTGATGCTCCCCTTGCACAAATACCATGTCACCACCAGCAAGAATTCCACTGTGGCCATCGACCGTGTCGCTGATTCATCTTCAGACAAGATCGTAAGGGCGGCGAGTGAGTCCTCAAGCACGGGGGATGTGTGGCTCTCGTCAACCAAGTATCGAGCTCCCCTTTCTTCTGTTAAGGTCAAGTTGCTCGACAGCAACAGAGAGAGGAGGCACGACGCTATACCTGATGATCGAATGAGCTCCCTCGACGCCCGATGATCCTTGCTAAGCTTCTTATTTAAGCTACTTAGGATCATCTTCGTGCAATTTCCAGCTTTGATCTCTGCGATAAGCTCCTCCAGATCTGAGGCTCTGAAGTCGGACACATCCGACGTGATGGACGACCTGCCCTCGGAAGAACCTTCCTGCATGACAGAGCAATGATCCATTCTATCCGAGGCCGAGCTTGAGCATGCATTGTCGCCTTCACTCCCAGAAGACGGCGACCCCGGAACAGGTACGGACAATGGGATGCCAATTTCAGACCTCTCGCAGAATCGCCCCTGGTCCACAATCTGCTGCTGCAGGTGGCAATCATTGGCGGCCCATACGAAGGCAGTCTTCTTGCCAAAATCTGGAATGCCTGGGGGAGTGCGGGGACTCAACACCGAGCTGGCACAATTGCCGAATATGCCACATATGAAGAGCTGCGTACCCCTAGCCTGCTGCAACCTCGAATCCGACCTCTGATTTCGCATCCCTCTCTGCCTTTCAACTGATCTCCCTATCTGCCTTCTGACTGGAAGGTCGCTGCCTAAGTGCGCCAACCTGGTAATCCACCACCAGTCCAGCAACCTCACTCCAAAAAAATAACACTACGTCGAGCAACCCACCTCTTCAAAGCCCCGCATCCAATACCTACAGCGCAGCCCCCGTCATCACACAACACCGCCGCTGTAGAATTTTTCACTCTAACCTAGTCATTGTCCCAGGTCCTCTCCAAACGCCGCCAACTAACTTAAACAAGTGCAACGGCTCTCCTCCTCCTCTCGAACAACTCATGCTCACGGCAGCTCTAATTCCTTCTCAAAAGGACCGAACCACTTAACGTTGATGCCGCCACATACTTCACCAAATCAAACCACAAAATGCACTCTACTGCAGTCGTAGACACCACCCCACCATTTCAATCCTTACAGCGGCGAGAGAAGAGCAGCAGAGAACAGTGAAAGTGCAGCTAGCTTAGGACCTGCAAAGAAAGCAGAGGAGGTGGGGGGGAGCATGACTGTGGAGAGTGAGAACAGTTTCAGTCTCCCACAGGATCTGTTGACTGAATCCCTTCCCTTCGCTCTCTCTATCTCTCTCTCTTCTGTCCAAGCCTGAAGCTGGCGTCTCGTAGGGTCGGAGCCCCACCGTGAACTGTGCCTTCTGACCGCCACTGTCAGACCCGTTACGCCAGTGTTTTCAACAGCCTCCTCTGGCAGAATGGACTCATCACCCATTTCCCCCCTTTCTTATGCTGACACCGGATGCCCCAAGTGGCGCCGCGGTATAGAGTGGCGCAACCCTAACTTCCAAGCCAAGAGAGCCGGGTCCCGGCGGTGGTCAAACCGCCAGGCCTAGTCAGAAGAAAGGTGGTTTCCTTCCAGTGCAGGCCACTCTCATGTTGTCGCAGTGGCCCTCTTTTCAAATCCCGTCTGAAATCCACGACGGACCCCACCCACTCAACCCCCCCCCCTTCTTAATCAACTCAAACAGCTCCCAAACTGCCATCTAGACCACGACCCCAGTCAAGTCAATACCAGTCAAACGGTGGCGGCATAGGACCCTGGTAACCGGTTCTTTGTTCACTTCCACGTTTCATCCCTCTCATCAAGCTCCAACAAATGCCATTCATGACGTTCCTGGTTGAATCTCCAGCTCAAGCGTGGCTAGGGGGTCCGGACCCAGCAACAGCAGTTCCGCCTGAGCTGGGATTGCATTCAAACGCTGCGAGGCTGCAGGCATTGCAGCAGCAGCTGCCACTGAGGAATCCAGGCTCTGCAGGGATGCGGAAGGAACAGAGTGGCCCACCGTAGCTGCAACAACAACAACATCATGCCAGAGGGGCCTTACGATTGAGAGCTTTGGCCATCCTGCTCAGCTCCCACTGCAATATTCGCAGGCTTTGGTGGGACACGGCGCGCTGCGAGACTGACGACTGCTGCGCCCATCACCGCCTGGGAAGTCACGGTGATAGGCTTACTTGTGTAGTTTGGCTTTGAGGACCCATTAGGGTTTCGTCGTTTGCAATTTGGCTTCATTGGTGTGTGTTTTGCGTGGTGGTGGTGTTGTTCTTGTCTGTAGTACGGACCATGTATGCTTTCTAATGTTGTGATTATATGATAGTGGTGAATGTATTTGATGGGCGTTTATATTTAGAAGCCCGCTTTGAGTAGGATGTGGATTCATACATTTTTAAATCTCTCTATCTTAGTGAAGAAAATCAGTTCTCTCTAAGTCAAGCAAACAATAGACCTACATCACTTGCATTAATTTGTTGTAATCCTATCAAACGGATTCAAATTATAAGGTATGCATTGGATGCACTTACATATTTGTTTTCAAATAAGCAACTGCTTATATATCACATCAACCACTTTACTACATGAAATTTCCAAGATCTCTTACATTTGAATTATAGAGTATATATTTGATAAATACATGGAACAAGGGAATCCGGAAAGGATCATAGTCACAACACACGCTTCTAATAAAACAAATGGACTACCATTTAATAGAAGTGATTGACCTACTACAAATCCTTAGCCAACACCCATCTCATCACCAATTTGATATATTGCCTAATTCATAAAAGTTATTATGATTATATTTTATGTTTTTCATCATCTAGTTAATGAAAAAATAGTTAATTTAAGTAAAAAATTATTGAGTCATTAAGCACATATTGGTATAGTTAGAATCTTTAATACATATATCATAATTTGTAAAAATAATAAAGGATATTAAAGAACTTAATAAAATAGTAGAAAAGAATATAATCAATTTCTACTTTTAGAAATGCAACATAAATTTATTTATTATTTACAATAATAAATTAAATAATATTGTAATTATAAATATTTATTTTAATTAATTAATCTATAAACATAATATATAAGATTATCTAAAATTAATTATTTTCATATTATTTGTATATTTACTATATATTTATTTTAAAATATGTTTAGTAAAAATAACCTCAAAGAAAAATATGTTAAATAAATATTAATATTATAATAATTGAATAATCGTGTAAGCTAAGTAAGATAAAAACAAATACTTAATTTATCATTATTATTTCATTACAATTTTTTTATAAAAAATTATACAATATCTTTTAATTGAAAATATAAAAAATATAGTTTTAATTTAACATGTAGTAACATTACTTAGATTCAAAATACAAAAAGAAATGATATAAGAATTATATAAACATATATAGTTTTTTATTTTATCTTTTTAATAAACAAGTTTTTAATTCAAGTAAGAAGGATTATTGCATATGTTCTATCTATACATCTGTTTAAATTTTGTAGCTCCTTATTGGACTTTAAGAACTTTTTTTGTCGTGTTGTTCATGTTACAAAGCAATGGGCCCTAATGCTACTTCATATATATAATTATATTTTTAAAAAGGTTTAGTAAAGATGATTTGGATGTTTGATTATATATATATATATATATATATATATATATATATATATAAACATACATACATACATATTTATATTTAGTATTAATAAAATCTTATTAAAAAATTGGTGAATTGAAATATATTTTAAAGAACATGATAGTTTAAAACAGATATAAATAGTTCTTTTGTAAAACTAATTTTTTTTATTCAGTAATATAATAAGGAGAATATTCAATATTCAGTATAAATATATATTTGTGTAAAATATAAAAATATAAAATATTACTATAAATCAAGTAAATTCTGATTTATTATGTAACTATATATTTTAGTATATACATATGTATATTGAATATTTTTAGATAATACAAGAATTAGTATTAATAAAAATGAAAATATTAATTAGTATTCTACAATAACTATATACCAATATAAGATGTATTTAATATAAAAAAATTAAAATTGAAAATTTCTTATAAAATTTTAAAATATATGTATGTTTAAATTAATGGTTTTTTAAATTTTTGTAAAGCATATTTATCAACATGCATCTCTAAACAATTTTTTCTAATGAATAATGAAGCTTCAATACATACTTTGATTATTGAATAAAGTATTCTACACATTTATTGTAAAATAATGTCGTTGATGCTTTGAATTTATTGTACAACAAATTCTTTAAGAAAGCCAAGTAATTTACTATCATGAAAGTATGTTTTATATACTTTAGAATAATTTATATATATATATATATATATATATATATAGTTATAGATCTAATCATAAATTTTTTTTTTTGTTTTTTTAATTGATATCTAAAAGAATATAATACAATCAATTTTTTTGAAGATACATAATAAACATATTTACATGCCTATTGTAATTATTTTTAATTAACACAATAATATATATATATATATATATATATATATATTTATTTGTAAGTTGATTGTAAATTAATAAGAAGGAACATGTGTTTTATAAAAGATAGAATAATATACTTTCTATACCTATAAATATGATTCCTTTATTGTATGTATGTATGTATGTATGTATGTATGTATATACAAACATACACATAATATTTTATTTCCTATAAATGCTATACACATAGATTGACTGTAGAAATCTACATAAATAATTATTAATAAGAAACATTTACAAGAAAATTAAATATTTTTTCGAGACTTTGAGAAAAAAGTAAAAGTGAAATTAAAGGAATAAAGCTATTTAATTTTTGTAAAATTTCGACCATGAAATTATAAGTAGTAATTAGGATTTGTTCTCAGACAAATGCTCACTGGAAACCATAACACAAAAGCTCACAAATGAAAATGTTCATCTAAACATTTTGAAATACTACTCTTGATATATCTTATTAAGAAATGGTGGCATGCCACTTATGAAGATATGCTACTTATTTAATTAATAATCATAGTGGTTCAATCTAAAATATATTATAAAAGATGTAAATCTTTAGTACACAAAGAATTTTTATTTTTTTCTTTGTGAACATATTAGCATTAATAGTTTGTAAAACATCAAATACCACAATCTTACAAGTAACAACCAAATTAATTACTTTAGAACCCATTAAAAGTCACTTGATTCTAGCCTTGAAAAATCTAATTATCTGTGCATTTTGCACAATCTACCACTTTGAAACGAAATTCAATCAACAAAGGCTCTCCACCATCCTAGAAAGTTCCAAAGTCCCCATCAACGACCTCAGTCAACGCAAGATGAGGCTTGAGGAAGCTTCCATTGAGATTCCAAGGTTTCATCGTCTTTCATAATGGTGCTTAAGGGGCTGCCCGTTTTCAATCCGGGCAGATCGGTCCTTTGATCCCCACCTTATGGAAGTGTTTGACTGGGGCACAGGGCAGAGTGTTGATGGAAATTTCAAAATAGTTGACTCTCTTCTGGGGGAAAATCAAACAAATTACAGTAATTTAATTCTGGGAGTTTATAAATCTCATTCAGATTTTTTTTTTTTGTTTCAAGATCACGAGTTTGTTCATATTCACATTCTTCGTTTATTTTTAATTTTTCAATAATTCATTATGTTGCAGACAATTTAGATATGATTGGACAATGGAATTAGTTGTCCAATCATATATTTTAAAGATTTCATTTATTAATTAACACGTATTTGAAAATTTTAAAACAAACAAGTTTAAGAAGTAGAAGAAGAAGAAGACTACTCACATGAACTCATCAATCCACACAGAACTCAATAGTTTGTAATATTTTTGTTAGTTACGTTCTCTGATTTACTTCAAATTATTTTGATTTTGAAGTAAATAAGAGAACGTGACTAACAAAAATATTATAATCTATACGTAGGAAATTTTAATATTTTTTCAAAATTTATTTTTTAGTCTTCTTCGCTAAAACATATGCATTTATACTTAAACGACAGTTGCTCAATATTGACCAATCGCATCTCGCCATCGCAAACGTAAGCACCAAGTGTGAACGGAACATGTTGGTGAATCGATAAGTGTGAACGGGACACCAAGAAGGGCATTAAGTGTGAACGCGACAATTATCCGAAGGAACTAATGGGAACAGGACCCCATTCCAATCCACACTAGAACTGGTGTGGCCCAGAGTAAAGTCGAGGCTTGATTGCAGCTCTCGCAGGAATTGGTCTCCATAACGCTAGGGTTACGCTCCATACCCCTCGCGGATTGTGGGTCTTACCCATCACGCGCGCTGGCGATGCCAATTCTAATCTCATCCCATCAGTTCCCACTCAATTTCCTTGGGTTATCCTCAAATTTTCGTTTCAGTAGGTTTCGATGTGCATACGACGTTTGTTTCCGATGAAAAGCTTTGAAGCGCAGGAAGCGGTCCCGGGAATATCCTTCATCGCATTATAGCTCGTGACAATTCAGTGTTATACGTGATTGGATTATGCCACTGTATGTTGATTAGCGGTCGTTAAGGTGATTAATGGACATTGGGGCGGAATGGCGTGGTTTGCGTGTAGTGGTGGAAGCAGAGGTTGTTGCGTCGTTGAATTCTCCAGGTTCGGTTTATGGCCCGGCTAGCGACGCGAGCTGATCGTTTCGGGGGTTGTGTCGGTGGCGCTGGCAGGATGGCGTCTCGAAGCGTGGGGTTAGATTCAATTTATTTGTGGTGGATTGTGTGGGTAGGGGTTTTGTTGTGTTTTGTGCCAGGGGTGGTGGTTGGAGATTATTTGCGTCCCGTGCTGAGGTTCAACAGCGAGGGTCAATTCAAAATCCTTCAGGTGGAGTTTGTTTGTTTTTTTTTTTGTTTTTTTTTTTTGGGTGTGTGTTTGAAGTCCTGGCTTGATGCAGTTTTGGTAAGATATGCTTGAAATTTTGAACTCTTCGTTTTTTTATCCTGTTTGGAATAATTTTTTTGGGGTTTGTTGCATAATATCCGATTCATGCCTTGAATGTACGTCATGGTTAAAACAATGCAATGCTACCTTCTCAAACCATCGTCGTAGGGTATAAAGAAAACCTAATTTTGGCGTGGATGATCTCCAATGTCTAATTTGCTGCCCCACTCAAAATCATTGCTCGTTCTGAATTCTTGGTTCATCGCCGCAACTATTGCTTAACTCGACCATTCAATAACTTCTGCTTTTTAGCGTGTCTTTGTTGTGAATGCAATTATACTGTATATGTTTTCTGAGCAGTGACTGTATTACCTTGTGTCACTATTAAAACGTTGTCAAGGATGGTTGGGGTTTTGATTCCTAGTGGTTGCATTGCTGCTCCTGTAGCATTGAAGTAGCAGTTTACGAGGAAGAGTATCGTGATTTGAAGCAATATTTCGAGTCGCGGGTTTGAGAGATCGTAGTAGTCTTATATCCTTCTGCTTGCTGGCGAGTTCGATTAGATAATTGATCTATTGATGAATTTAGGTCGATTGAAGCTGATTGCCGCTTCATGAAAATGGCGGAAGTTTAATGTTTCGTCAGATGTTGGGCAAGTTCTCGGCAGATTGTTTTTGCGTTAGGCCATCTGAATTTTGCTTTCCAGCTTCATGGCTTACTCTTGCTCGTCTGCTCAGGTTGCTGACATGCATTTCGCGCAAGGTGCCCACTCGGCATGTTACGATGTGGCTTCGTCACATCATTGTTCTGACCTGAACACTACATACTTCATTGAGCGGCTACTGGCCGTGGAAAAGCCTGATTTGGTTGTCTTTACTGGTATGATATATCGCATTCCTAGTCCTTGCGTATTTGTCAGATATTTTTGCAGTGGTAATGAAACTGAATTATTACAATTTTGCTTGTGTTAGAAGTACCTAAATTTGTGACGAACTTCAAGAATTTGTCCTTCCATTCTAATCTACGTCAGGATAGGGGCTGCATGACTCGAATAGCTGGCATATAGCACAAGTATAAGGCTACTGTGAACACTGTATAAGAGACGGGATTGTTTGGAATTAGTCTCGATACAAGCCGGTTGTCTGTAGAAATGTGACCTTCTTGTTAATGAAGGGGTTACTGCTTGAGAATATTTGAATCAGAAGTGGTTGTGAACTTGAATGCGCTTGAGGGAGATCCCGGTCGATTTGAGCTTTGTGTTGGCTTCTCCTCCTTCCTTTGTGACGTCTTCCTTCAGTGTTACTTGCTACATCGAAATTTACATGTATCGTCGGGCAGGCGATAATATCGACGGGTCTGCGACGGATGCCATGAAATCAATGGACCAAGCTTTTTCTCCAGTAATAGCGGCCAAAATTCCTTGGGCTGCAGTTTTAGGAAACCACGATCAAGAATCAAACCTACCACGGGCGAAAGTCATGGAATATTTAACGAAGATGGAACACTCCATGTCCGAAATGTTGAACCCAAGCATGGAGAGTCTTTTAGGCAAGAGCGTTGATCGAAGAGCACCAATTGAGGTTCATGGATTTGGCAACTACTACCTGCAGGTGTTCGGTGGTCTAGACTCTGACTCTTCAAATTCAAGCCTTCTCAACTTGTATCTTTTTGACTCCGGGGACTACTCGAAGTTCAACACTGTTGGTGGATACGACTGGGTTCGAGCCAGCCAGTTGCTTTGGTTTGAAACGCTTGCGGCAAAGCTCAAGGTAATTACTTCGTATTTTTCTATGTTACTCGAGACAGTTGCCGTAGGTAGGTGGTTAAGCCCGTTCGAGAAAACATTTACTGTATATACTATGTAGTAATCACGGGTTGGTCTGAGTCATATTCATAAGTTAACGCACGCAACTGTTTGTGTTGTCTTTCTACAGTCTGAATCCTTAGCAAACACCGTGTCCGGACAACAACCACCGCCACCCGTGACTCCAGCGCTGGCTTATTTCCACATTCCGACTCCTGAATACAACGCAGCTTTTACGAGTCCGTCCATGCTAGTGGGTGAGAAACAAGAAGCAACATGCTCCGCATCTGTGAACTCCGGACTGTTCACATCCCTTGTTGAATCTGGGGATGTCAAAGCTACATTTGTTGGTCACGATCATGTCAATGACTACTGCGGCAATCACCTTGGTATACATTTGTGTTATGGTGGTGGCATTGGCTACCATACCTATGGGTACGTGGTTGTTGCTCATATAGTCTCAGGAAACCCCGCCCACTCAAGAGGCTGCATTTTATTTAGTTCTACCTACTTTTGCATTCACTGTACATGGTTACTGCTAGTTGTATTTTGAATCTGTGGTGTGGCTTTTTTGCGCCTTCTTGTGTACGTTTCAGCGAGATATTACGTGAACCTTTTCCATTTCTTTACGATTAGGAATCCATTAATGACACGGAGACTGGTTTTTATGGTTTCATTGACCAAGGTTCTGGTTGTCTTTTCGTGCTTCAGGAAGGCTGGATGGGCTAGACGGGCAAGGATAGTACAGGCTTCTCTTGGAAGGGGTCTGAAGGTTGGTTCAAAGGTCACTCGGGAGATAACAACTTGGAAACGGCTGGATGATGAGGATTTAAGTATATCTGATATACAAATCCTGTACAATGGTTATGCGGGTGAATGGTTTGCTGGGCCTTTCTTTGGCAGAAGTCTCCCTTTCAGAAGGGGAATTCTCGGAGATTGGATGTCTATTATAACCCTTCTGTTGTTACTTACAGGCTTGTTTCTCGTAACCTTTTTGATTAATTATTGGGTTCGGAAGTTTCAAAGTCGTAAAAGGACATACTTTGCCTCCCGTGAAGGAGCATCGTCTGTTGAATCAAATGATATTTATGACTGACTTCCTCCACAATACTGCTTCTCATGTTGTTTTGAGGGTATTGATGTTCCTGCGTCCAGGTTGATGTGTGGAGTGTGGTACATATTTCCTCATTGTTTATATTCATTGTACTTGATCTTGGATGTATGATGCTTTGATTACAGCCTGGGAACATCACTTACATAATCATCTTATTGATTGTGAGACGGAAGAACAGCTTAGTTATTTTATTACATTCAAATAGGATAATTGGAGAGGAAGTTCCACAAAATAGCTAAGGGTGGCTCAAGTGGAAGCCCAGTGTGACCATGATTATGAAAACTTCGAGGTGATTAAAGATAACGAGAGTGGTCGAAGGTGGTCTGGATCTAATCGAGGTTTAAGGAGAAACATAGCACCATCTTTCTTCTCACCACTAAGTTCTCATTTACTATTGCTGCAACTGCTCTAGAAGCCTTCTAAAAACATAAAATCTCGAGGCATGTGAAAATTTTCATCATGATGTAATAACAGGATTTTGGGTACGAACCAACTAATTGTCATGAATCCAATTGACCAAATGAACTCTGCAGAAAAAAAAAATTTTTAAAAAGGAAAAAGCAAATTATTCAACAAAATGAAAAAGAACTCTATGTGGCAGAGATTCTTGTGTCATCAGCTTTGAAACATTAAATACATTCAGTAATCTTGCCGAACATTTATTCATTAAACAAAATTCATCTTCAATAGTTATGTATCACAACTATTTTAATAGTCTCAAGTGTTCCTACGCATGCTTAGAATCTTATTTATAGAGTTGAAGGCATCATTTTGTTATGGTGTCCGAGTTGTACAGTACTCCAATTGAGAATGTTTTCTTCAACCAATTCAGACTTCTTGTGAAGGAGAAATCAAAGTCTTTGTAATTATTTCGAAGAAGAATACATTCTTACATTTCTGAACTCATTACCAACCATAGAGAAATATGTACAAGAATGAGGCATGTAGGTGAACGGCAGAGTATATTTTAGAAGCATATGGCAATTTTAAAATAACTATAAAAATATGTGTATTTGTGCATATATTTACATAAAAAAAAATGAAATATAATTACATTTTCGTCTTATATTAGTTTTATGTAAGTAGTGTGAACATTTATGTCTGCAAATATGTTTTTATCCTTCACATTGGATTGTAACATAACATCAAAAATAAAAAAAACAGAATGAAAAGTGAATACACTTACTTTCATGTAGTTTGACATCTTACTTATTATTGTGTATTATGACTTATATAAATGAGCTGTGCATTTGCCATAATTGCAAACTTTTACTAACAACTCAAACTAGTGGCATTATAAACAATTCAAATATGAGAATGAAACTAAAAATAAACATGATCATATGATTTAAAATGCCAAAAAAAAAATAAAAATAGTGCACAATAAAATTTACCAATAAATATAAATACATTTATAAATCACAAATATATTTAAAAACATGTTGCTAATGCCACCACAATTGCCATGTATTGCATGTCACCATAGTTTTTGCTATTGCTATTACAATTTGCCACCCACTCAACATTATATATATATATACATATATATACACACACATATACATACATATACTTTTTTTTTTTCTTATCCTAATAATATTTTTTTTTTGTTTTGTTGTTTTTTTTTAAAATTGTATAGAGTGTTAATAAAAAACAATTAATAAATTAATAAGAATAATTATGGTAGCAATAGGAAAAAAATGTGATAGCATTAGCAACCCACTATTGAAATAATAATATGTACAATAAAACACACGAAACAAAAACAAAAAAATATAAAATAAAATAAAATAAAACTTTATTGATTAGTTTATTTATGTATTTCAAAAACAGTAAATATGTACTTTGCATCACATAAATATTTATTATTATGCTCATGCTAGGTATAATATATTCAATGATTTCAGGGAAGTTCAACAATTAGATTTTATCAAAAAAAAAGAGAAGAAATGCAAATATTTCATATTCTTGTATTGTATAAAACAATTCCTGTCACAACATGGTGTTGTTAATGTATTTGTAACGGCCTTGTAAAGAGTCACTAAAGATTACCACAATAAACAACAGACAAAAACGGTTAAAACTAGAATAACCTTAAAAATGGTTATAATAAGAAGAATATTCAACCATTCAAATACTACTCCTACTTACCTGTAGTGGTCCTACTCATGATGTAAATTAAACATGCAATTAAGGACAAAACTCAAAAAATCATTATATTATGCACATGTTTTTGCCATTTCATAACAATAATAGAATTTCCTGGTGGTAGAAGACATATTGTCTCCACTCTCAAAAGTAAATGTAAATTAATCCTCCAATCCCCAAGTTAAGATTAGACCAAGCGACATGAGGCGGTGGTGCTTGGCCACATCCACCTCATAAATTATTGATTGTATTTTTGTCCATTCGGAGCCTGAGAACGCTATCCCCGAGTTGTTCCCAAGACGCGAACTCTTAAAACGACAGGGAACACGATCCTTATCAGCAATGGACGAATGTACAGACTAGTGACCGGGATCAGAAGTTGGACGCGAAAGTCAGTTACTCAACGGCGACCGGCTACACCGGTATTGGACAGTTGTCAAGCGTCGCTGAACTTCCTCTGTGACTCACATCTGTACGTATCACACAGAGGATGTACGATTTGCATGGTGTGAAACAACGTTCATCATTCTCGCTAGTAATTCCGGCTTTATTGCCAGCAAAGACTGCACAGCTGCATGGTCTCATGGAAAAACCCTCGCAACTGCTGTTCTGTTTGGCGCTCCTTTCCACGCGCCATCGTAGCCGCGCATTACTTGGACGGCCGCGATTCAGCCGACTTCGGCGCGTAGGCCCGGGAACTGCTTTGGATTCCGCTATGGGGGATTTCTTCCGACGTGCCTTGTGGCGCGCATCTACGGCTACAGCTGGGCCTCATGGTGATGGGCCTCAGATCGACGGCATCTGGCGATTTATGTGGTTATAGGCTCCTCTCTCGTCAGCCCATCTATTTCACGATGCTTTTTGAACGCTTCTCTATGGTGACCCATTCCTTATCCTGCACCGCACTTCGCCTTGAGCCTCACGCGTCGTAGACTACAATTGTCCGCGTGCCTTTGCGACAGAGTGGTATTGCCGTTGTATCCCACGTGAATGGAGTGCGTGTAGTTGCGTCTGTTTGACTCTTGCTGTGTCGGAGCGGGTGTAGCTTTTTGGTGCTGCTCGACATGGAGGGTATGAGGGGGAAGACTGTAGATAGGGTTTCACGCCGTGCATGGAGTGGAGTTTTTCTAAGTAGGAGAAGAGTCTCACATATTGAAGGAGGCGTGCCTTCGTGTTGGATGAAAGATGAAGGCGGGCATGGTTTTCAGCGAGATGTCCATATTTTACGGCATGGATGATGCGAAGCAGGTGTGTCCAAGATGGTGTGGAAGGGAGATACTGGTTCACCTCAGAGACTTCTATGAGGTTGAGAATGGATACGTGTGCCGATTCGTTCGTGATTGAACGCTTTCACTGCAGCCTTGCTGTTGGTTTGTGCGAAATCATATGCATCGGCGCTCAACACGCGAAAGGGTGAACTGAAGATTCACTGGTGAGTCGATGAACTTTCATGTGCACATGGTTCGAAAGATGCTTTGGCTTCTGGTTATTCTTGCCTCTGTGAGGAATGTGCATCTGTGTTCTGATATGCTTGAAAATGTCACCTGATTACGGCGAGTCCTTGCTAATTTGAAGAAACGTTCTTACATTTTCAGGTTACACGTACAAGTCTCAGCAGTATCAGTATGATACTTGGTAATGAGCAGTAATGGTCATGTACCACCTCCGACAGCTTTTTTTTTCTGTCGAGGGTGTTGATTCTCAAGTTTTGACGGATGCAGTCTAGCCATGGTTGAACTGGAAGTTACCATGCTGACTGTGTCGCATGACCCTGTCCTCATGGGTGCGCTTACGGGGCGGGTCTACCCTTAATAAAAAAAAGTTTCGTGGTGCGGGGTGGGCAGTTCCTCCCGCTGGTGTTGTTGGTTGATTGCAGTGTTTGTTTGCAAACTTAACTGGCATGTACTGATACGGGTATCTTGAGATGTTTCTCTGTGAAACGTGCTGTCGAGGGTGCGCGTGCAACCAGCGCAGCACAACGGGATTAGCAGATTGACGCATGGGATGCTACACATGGGGTACATTTGGAGAGTGCATATTATAAATCAGTCCACAATTGAAGATAATCAGCGCGTTATAACCGGAACACAGTTCAACTCAATACATGATACCAATATTTATTTGGTAGCCATAAAACCTCAAAGGTAATAGAGGATGTCGATGGCCAACACAGGGCTCATCCACCCGTCGATCACTGGGTGACCTTGGCGTGATGCAAGTCACGGCTCAACTGCATGACCCAAATTAACGAGTGAATCACCGACTGTTTTTTCGCTGCATTCGCACATCTGAGTAACCCTGCTGATACATGCAGTGCACGATGATGTCGCCTGCTACGATCGTGCAGTCAATCAAGCGCATATTGATCAAGGAAGGATATCCTCACCATGCAAGGTAGTAGTGCTTTCTCCCCACTCCGTTCGCCAAGCCTTTTCTCTTTCTTATCTATCCAATCTTATTCCATCAAAGTTCTTAGCGTTTTTAGTTACGTTCGTTCCCATAGTCTCCTTCCCTCGGATGGCCATTTACATGCTTCAAGAGAGCATACCGCCATCACAGAATTCCTTGTACCTACCTTGCGTCGTCTATCTACAGTTCACTACTTGGCACTTCGCATTCAATTTCATGTACCTTGCTACTCTATTGTGTACCCACTTGTCCGCAACATAGTCTATACCAGTTTTTACCTTTTTCGTTTCACCTTCATCTTATAACCAGCGCATTGTGAATTACCCCATCCTAGTTTGCGAAGGTATCTCATCCGATTTTTCAGATTTACACTACAATCTGTGTGAACTGCTGAACATATATTCTAGACTTGCCCGTATTTGTTACCTCAACTAGTTTCAGTCTTGCAAGGTGGACTCCTAAGTAGAACCACTGAACTCTGAATTCAATGTATAGGCTCATGTGCATCGCAGCCCGACCATCATTTGTACTACATGCTGTATTTCAGATTGTTGTAGTCCTTAAATTTCATTTCAGTTCCTATTTAGATTAGTGTGTGTAGACTATCGTAGCATGGAATAGTAGTTAGGATATGCAGGCTGCTGCAGCTTTGTAGTCGACATGCGGATTTGAAGCCAGCAGGAAGCGTTGTTACGTGGGACTGTCGGGAGCAGGGACGATGGTGGTTTAACGATACAGGTTTCTCCGGTGCAGTGGGTGTGGACAATCATTCAGCATTACATGACGAGGCGATTGATTACAACTTCCAACGGGAAGACAGCAATGGCGGTTGGTGAAACTCAGATACCGCAAGATAGGTTTTGCAAGCAAGGGACCTAAGCTGCATTAGCTAGTTGCACCATCCGGAATCTGAGATGCTGTACCTGGATTCAAGTAAATTAATCCTCGTCTGATAGCCCAATTGTACATGATTATGACTCGACATTCAGGATGTGGAGGTAGAGTCTAGTGTAATTGTTTGTATCTTTGCATGTTTTTCACCGAATTCTGCAGTTAACAGGTTGTTAAATATTGGGTATTCGTTCTGCATGTTGATGGTATGAGGCTGAGCATATTGATTTGCTTGACATTTTTTCCGAGTGGCTTCGATGTTCAACAGGATGATGTACTGTGTCACCTTGAGGTCTACAAATTCTGTGACCATGAATTAATTATGTTGTACTGAACATTGAGATTACCGTGAGCTGTGGTTGTCGTTTCACAAGTGCCTGAGGTATTTGTACATTCCTTTTGCGTATACCCTGCCTGCTGACGGAAGGTTAATGGCACACCTCGACTTCATGTTAAAGGTGCGTCAGGCTCTGCAGCTACACATTACTAGATTCTTCGTCCACTGTTGGCTAATTTAAAACTTGTTTATGTTCAGTATGGTGGCAAACAGTGTGCCTTCTACATCCTTGTTGACAGGCAACACCAATCACCTTATGTGTGTTGTGGTTGGAAGGGTTCAACTCCCTTGGATTGGCTGGGTGATGTAGCAAGAGTCTCTCACATTCGTATTTTAACTCTGTAGAGAACTGGTTCATAATCAGCGATGGTATCCTTCGCACTGGAACTTTTGATGATAATTTTTTGTACCACGACATCGTCTTCGGCAGCGTTGACAATCATGCTACTTTCTATTGCATATCACATGTAGTATCCATCACTTGGGTTCTCACGCTTGGCCACGCATCCGGGTGATGAGCTTGCACGATGGTCAATCAGTGCAGTCACCCTTGTTGACCTACCTCGCCTGATGCACGCCGGTAATCACATTAACCTCCCAATCAAGCTTGTTGCATATCGTTGTCTGAGGTTGCCTTGTGAGCGTGCTCTATTCGTGATCAAAATGTCACAAATAATGAATCGGTAACGTACTTAAATATAACTTGGTAAATATCTGCTCGGAACCGCCGATACATGTATTGTTGCAGCGAAGCATGTGGAAGCCATTTCACCCTAAGTAATAACTGTTGCGCATGAACAGAAGCAGCACCTCCAAGTTGTAGTAACGTCCAATTATCACGGCACCATGGACAAGACATCTGACACGATTTGTTGCCCCAAATAGTTCAACTTGGCGTCAGAAAATACTTTCTTCGTAAGCGTTCCTTGCCATCACATTCTAAACTGTTTTGATAAACTCCAATTGCTCCCTAGCAGGGGCAGCTGGTGCGCAGCTATTCTGCGCTATCAGATCCCGTCAGCTTCTTCTTGTCAGTACGATTCTACCTTCGTGCATACCTGTATTTAGATAGTGTTCAGAACAACTCTAACTCATACGAGTTCTTTCTATGGGTGTAGTCTCATCAATGGATAATAATTGTGTTAGTTAATCGCAGCTTGTGCATTATTAGACCCTTGTCCTGCAACAATAGTCAAGTTTAACATCTCAGGTATGTTATATTCCCTCAACCTGGCTCAGTGGCTCTCTTTTGGTGTTACCTTACTTCAACATCAATGTTGTGCAAAGGTTCTAATCTAGTTGGTATTTACCAGAGGTCAAAGATATGCTAATTAGTGTCGCTGGACAATGAGATCAACAACATGGTTTGGTTGATATATCAATAAGGAGCATATTCTGAAGACGAGTTTCTATTCTAGAATTTTGCTTCATTCGAGTTGAAATTATTCCAATCAAGCTGAGTGAAGAATGTTATCCATTGTTTCGCATTTGTAGATTGAATTAGCTGGATTAACATGAGTATACATCATATTCTTGTGGTCTAATAAAGTGCAAGTACCTTTCGTATGTTCAATCATAAAATGTAGAGTTTAAATCCATGAAAAATCTATGTATTTTATGTGATTTGTTGACTGATGAAAGAGAATGAGTTTTGCTAAAACAATCATTGCATGTACAATGTAGTGTATCACGTTGACACGTTATTATTGGAGCATTTGTCAATACTTTTAAATGTAGTTACTTACGGAAGTATGGATGATGTTGATGTGCACTTTGGTGTAAAATTATGGCCCTTGATATCTCTTCTGACTTTTCTTTTGTGATGATTTGTGATGTTGAGAACTTCTTTTATGTCTTTCTTCATGTTGGTATAAATTGAACTACCCAATCTTGCAATTCCATTACGAAAGTGCATTTCATCAATATATTTATTAATTCTCAGTCTACACATATTTCTTTTCTTTTCTTTTCTTTTCTTTTCTTGTCATTTTCAAAAATATTTCAACATATGAGTAAATTTAACAGTAAGCGGAAATAAAAAGTAAAAAACAATTAAATATCTCTTCTGATTTTTTTAAAAATAAGAACAATAAACAAGTATTTTAAAGAACTTCACTGCTGGTTTGAATTACTTCACAAAATAAAATAAATTACATAAAAAATTGTGGTTTAAAGGACCTAATAAGACATACTTGCATTTGTAAAACTTCGCATGAATTTGGTCATAGAATGCATAAAAATGCACAAAACGATTTTTTTCCAATTTTTTTCCAATTTTCAATGAAAGTTATAGAGAGACTTTTAACTTGATTAACTTTGAATATTTTGTATAAAACCTCTTGATACTTATCTCAATTTGTGTTTGTCTATGATTCTATTGTTTAATTGTTTTCAAAATTTAAGAATCTATTTAAAAGTAATTGATTTACAAATTGAAAGTAGTGGAGTAAGACTAATTTTGCTTCTTTTTTAAAAAAGTTACTTTTAATAATTAATATATTTCTGTTTATTAGAATTATTTTTAATTTTAAAATTACAACTTGTAATAGAGATCTAATCTAATTCTTATCAACTAATTAATCTTTTGTCATTTTATCCACCAAGCAATTTGACAACATATCAATACATCATTCATTCAACAAAAAAAAAATTATCAAAGTTGCAATTAGTGGAGGTACTTAATAAGTTTTCTACTCATTACTTAATTAGTAAAAATTTAAAAATAGTATTCTTAATTTTTAGATATGTACAAAATATCAAGTATTGTATTCTTTTAATGTTTAAAAATTTAGTATTTATAACTTTTTTCTTGAATAGTATCTAATATAAAATCAATGCTAAGGTTAAGTAAGATTTTTTTTTACAAGTTCTTATATATAAATTGTGTGTGTGTATATATGTATATATATATATATATATATATATAGGGAGTTGTTAAAGTCACAATCCAATTTTATTAATGCCACACTCTCCCTTCCCACCTCATGATTCATTCTATACTCGTTCCCTATCTCCAATCGTGTTCCCAACCCTTGTTCTCCATTTCCAGCCCTTGTCCTTCATTCCTAGCTCGACCTCCCCATCCCCACATTGTCCCAACTCCACCCCGACCTCGTCCTGACTCTACCTCTCCTCTCTCTTAACTTTTGGATTTTTTGAGTACACAAATAAAACTTAAAGTATAATTTTAGATATACTTAATATTAATTAAAAAAATGTTGTGATTATGATTCTTGTTATATTTGAATTTTTTCCACTCAGCTTATTTTAGATCTAAAACCATAAATCAACTAGATATATTTCATTGATTAGTATTATTTAAAAATTCATTAAATCAATTTTAATAAATTTTTTACTATACGTATATTAAATTTATATATTAAAAATATTTGTTTTAATATGTATAATAGCTAAAGAAAAATTTGGATTTTATAATAGATGTTTTAGAAACAATCCTTAGAATAATAAGTTTTTTTATAAAATATTCATCAAATATAAAATTTTAACAATTTTGAATTCATACTAAGATTTTATTTAATTTTGACGGGATTTTATTGTTATTCACCTAAAAAATATTTATACTATGATTTAGATAATAAGATTGGATTACTATAAACTTAATATTATAAATGATTATAAATATTTTTACTCTAAATTTAAAATTTAAACCTGATTATCAGATTTTTTAATATTTTATATCTAAATTTAATCATATCTATAAATAAATAAATAATTTTAAAATTAAAATTATTATTTTTTGATTAAAATAAATAACTTATATTCCAAGAAATTGATAGTTAAATAATTTATTTCAATTCTTTTTTATTCTTTTAATATTATTAAAATTTTAAAAAATTTCAAATATTAGATGTAAAATTTTCATCAATATAAAAAATATAAAGAAATAAGTAATGAAGTAATAGCTACTAAATGTATTAGGTAGGCATAGTTTTGTTTTTTTTAATGAAAATTTAATGTATTAAATAAAAATGATAAAAATTTAAAAAAATTCTAAATTTTTAATTTTCAATTCCACTATCTTCACATTTAAAAAAAATAAAAATACTCCACAATATAATTGGTACTACAATTGGTTCTAAGTTCTACTTATGTATGCAAAAAGCCCAAAACTTAAGAGAAGAGGGGGAGGTGGTAGGATGGAATCAAGATATAGTAAGAACAAAGGAGGTTGGGTTGGGAAGAAGGGATATGAATTGGAAACAAGGTTGGAGATAGGAGATGGATACAAAGTGAATCATGAGATGGAAAGGGAAGGTGTGGTATTAATAAAATTGGGATAGTCTATAAACAAGAAAGATCTTGATGCAGATTTGACTTCATATATGTTTGTTAGTGATTGATAGGTTGAAAACTTGGCCAGCAAGTTCACCACATGTTGCACATATTGGTGACTTGTGGTAGAAATTGGCTATATGGTGTACATATAAAGAACTTTTTTTGGAAGTTAAACACATGTTGGAAATCATATAGAATATTGCTACATAGCTAGAAAGAAGAAGGCCTCATTTTTGCAACCATATATACTTGCGTAAGTAGAAAATTTGATATTTTTTAAGCAAAGAAGATCCAATATTATTAGGATTTAATAATAAATCTTTTATTATTTTAAATTGAAAAGGTTCCTAATGTGTTAATACTTTAAATCAAGTGATATGTTGGCTAGACCATTGTCACCTTAAAGCTCTTTTTAATTGACCTTGGTTCCTTTATAATGGAGGATTTCTAACCTAAGTGATATATTTGTCAATTAATGCAAACAACTTTGGATGTTCTTTTAGTAGTAGAGTGAAAATACTTTGTACTTACTATTCTTAATAATAAGAATAGTATTCAAGTATTTGTTATACCATTGAATAAACACTTTAAGTGTCTTATGGTATATTTATTACATTAATCTTTACCTCTTTTGTTTTATTCTCTTAAAGCAACCTTGTATTTTGACAATCATATAGTTATTGTTAAATACAAAAATGGATTGATTTCATCTATTTTTAAGAATAAATTTTCTTGAAATTTCTCTTTGATTACATGTACACATAATGTCACGGCCATAATCATGTAAGCTAATAATTACATATAGAAATAGGTAGAAGTAAGTAAAAGTAGGCAAAAGTAAGTTAATTCTATAATATTTAATATAGAAGCTTCCTAGAAACTTCCTAGACGCTGCTTTGACTTCATAGGTGTCTTTAATTGACTTTTTGGATTAGAAACGTGGTCAACAAGTTGGCCATGTGCCACACATGTTGTTAGCTTGAAGATCAAGCTAACTATGTGGCCCACATGTAGAAAAACTTGCCTTGTAAGTCAAGGCATGTGTCCTACAAAGTCAACACATATTGGAGGTCCTATAGAACGTTGCCACGTAGCCCCTAGTTAGATAGTATATATAGAGACAAGAGTGAAGGCTTCTTCACTCTTGTCAACTCCTTTCTTGCTTCTAGTCTAGTTTCAAGGGTCTCTAGTTTTCTTGTCTTTTGGCAATAGCCATTCTAGTTTCTCTTTTCAATATACATACTTATTATTCATATTTTGTTACTTTTCTTTGAGTGAAGGCTTACTTGTCTGAACTGTTTTTTCATCGAGTTCTTGTCCTTGACAGATTGACAAGAGTGTACTTACAATATCAGAGCTTTGTTTTTCTTGAGTAAGAGTGGATTACCCCTTTCTCTTGACAAGGCATAAGCGTATTAGAAGTTTGCGGATTACCCACTTCTAAACTGATATTGTTCTTAGTATCTTCTTTGTTATCAAGTCTTTCTTTTCTTTTGTTTTGAGCAGTATCAAACAAATTTTTCTTCTTAGTGTCATTATGGCAGAGCTTGTTGAAATGAAGAGTGCAATGGCACAAATGCAAGAGCAAATGAGGGAGTTAATGCTTGCAATGCATCAACTCAATTCATCAACACAGGAAAGAACAAGAATGGCAGAAAGTGGGGATATAGAGATGATCGGAGCTGCTTCAACATCTACAACAAATCACGTTCCTTCTCCAATTGTACAACACCCTATAAGCACTAGAGAACCAAGAATTGCCTTACCTGAGAAATTTGATGGTACGAGATCAAAGTTTCGAGGGTTCATCAATCAAGTACAATTGGCAATTGAACTTCAACCGCAAAGCTATCCAACTCCAGGATCACAAGTCAGGTTTATTGACACTCTACTTTTTGGTTCTGCATTATCGTGGTTTTCGTCTTTTCATGAATAACGAAATTCAATATTGGACAATTTGGAAGCTTTTTTGGCGGAGTTTCGATCTATGTATGGTGAACACGATGCAACTCGTGTTGCAACAAATAAGATCTGAATTCTGCGACAAGAAAATCGCTCAGTAACAGTGTATGCTTCACAATTTTGACAACTTGCAATTGACATCAAGTGGGATGATGCTGCACTCATCAATCAATTTCTTTATGGATTGCAATACGAAGTAAAGAAATTGATGCTCAACTTACCTGATCCTCAAACTTTGAGTCAAGCAATCGATTTTGCGGTAAAATGTGATAATCGACTTTTTGAATTTCGATCCGAGAATCATTCACGGGAACC